AACAGCTGAGCTCAACTTCACTTGTAATAGTAGGACTGGCTTCATATATTCAGTTAGTTGGTCAAACCAGTGAAAAGAAAACTTAATTTGCCTTCTGCCTGTCAGGGAGTTGGAGCGTATATGTGTGTGTTTGCCTGTCTTTGGCTGCCTGCTCCATTATCACCACTGCCAGTGTTTTAAAGAGAGGCTCCCCCGACTCACAAAGCCGCCCCAAATCGTCTTTCATGGCCCTCACACAGAACAAAGCATCAGGGCAGCATAGAGCCTCTCAGAGGCCAATGTCCACACAAAACTTCATTTCAATCTTTTATCTAATTGATCCATTCAGCTGTGCACAATTTGCCAGGCAGCTACCAAAGGCACAGCAGACCTGAGCCAAACTGCTGATCTCCACTGTTGTTTCAGGAAAAGCACTAAAAGGTAAAAGAAAAAGTCAAGTTTGTTGTGTCAACATCTGTATGTTACATTTCTAGATAAAGTGGGATTTTATATATAGATATTAATATGTTATTCTGCACATCTGAGTCATATGTTCATACTATTTCACACACTATATTTATATTCAACACATTCCAGACACATAGTATTGGGAATGTTACTTTAACCCCTAACCTCCTGGATTACTGTTATCCTGGTGTTCTGTTTTTTTAATTCTGTTTCTAGCTTAAGGCTGTGTCTTCAAACGAGAGCAAATACAGACACATGCTGCAAGTACAGAACGATTACAAACACAAAAACTTGATTGTACGCAATACTGAAATTTGTCTTAGGTTTCACCATAAGACATGTCATAAAAACATAAAAACATTCACAAAAATACAACTCACAATACACAAGTCCACAGTATACACAATATTGCATGAATCTACTGTGCAAAAAAGTCAAGAGCACCACTCTGTATCCTATATACCAAATCCTACGATCAATTATTACTTATACAGCACTTAGGACAAAGGAGTTATATAGTTATGAGCACTCATAAATATTCATAATGCTTTATAACAATAATCCTAACATTATAGAGCATTTTAAAATGGCTTACATGGTCAAGAATCATAATTCTTCACAATTGCTAGTCACTGACTTTTTTTTACAAGGCACATAGTGTATAATTGTCATAGCTGTTATTATCCATTAAAACTATGACAATTACAATATACATTCAGATATACAGCAAAGATATTACATTTAAGGATGGCAACTTGTCACCACTGTTGGATCTTATGTGTATCAGAGCAGCAGCGTCATTCACATAGGGCTCATTCAGCTTTTTCTCAGCAGGCAGAGATTTACTCTGCGAGTAAAATTAAATTTTGTAAATAGAGTAGTTGAGTAAATGTCCTTGGTTACATTCCATCACTGGAATTATGTCTGAGCCCGTTTAGCTGGACAGCTTCAGAAACAAGACACAGGCAAGGAGACTAGCTATTGAAACAAGTGCATGGCCTTAAGCAGGGGAAATTCCACCATATACAGCTCCCAGTTCCACCTATCTCACACCCACAGACACACACACACACACACACACACACACACACACACACAAGCAGTTACCATATGGCTCCACAGTGTGATTGAATGGTGCTACGCATAGTCTATCTGCATAATCACAACAAAGCAGCCGTTTGGTGTGTGAGCAACACATCAGTCAAAGCAGCTAACTCTCACACACATTCTAACACACATTCTCACACACAGACACCCTCCTTTTCAAAAGGAGGGTGTCTGTGCGGTAACTTCAGAGGGTTTTTTTCCACAGATGAGGGGGTGGGGTGGGAGGTTGCAGTGGGGGAGTCAGATTTCTTTAAAAAAAGGCTTGAAAACACTGAGTGTGAGAGAGAGAGAGAGAGAGAGAGAGAGAGAGAGAGAGAGAGAGAGAGAGAGAGAGGGGTAGAGAAAGGGAGCATTCCTCCAGTGCTCTTGGATAACGTCTTCTAGTCATTTATCATTCTCTCTCTTCTCTCTTTCAAAAGGTAAAATGCTAGGCGCTGTTCAGTTTTCAGCTGTTTGGCAGGCTCACTTCACTCACACACACACACACACACACACACACACACACACACACACACACACACACACACACACACACACACACACACACACACATTGTCTGAAGTAGAGGTACATTCCAAATATCTAAGTATAATATATGTTCATACCACTGATGAAGAAAATCCACATTTAGCAGACTTACTACACACCTACCCTTCCTGCCCTTTGTCTCCATTTTTATACTTTCTATACTCTTTATACTGTGAACATTTACACTTTCAATATTTAGCACATTCCATCCTCTTTACTGTATAACACTGCGCAGCTCTTCATTTCATAATACAGTATATTTTAATTGCAAGTTTCTGTTCTATGTTCATGACTTGACTTTTACAGCACTTGTTTTTTATTTTTCTCTTTCTTTGTTTATTTTGACCGTTATGCACCACAGCGCCATATGTATAAACCTACTTGACAATAGACCTGTTTCTGGAAAAACCACCCACTTTCAGAGCATCCATCGCACCTTCTGGAAGTCGTGGCACCTATTTTCTTTTCTACACCCGTGGCCACAGCAGCTGAAGCCCAAGGTTTTCCAGCCTGTGAGATCTCCTGGCTTCAAAATTTGGCCAGGAAAACCACATGTGCATTTATAGCAGCAAGGTTGAGGCAGTTGAAGAAATAAGCCAGAGGCCAGCGCTTTGTTCTCTGCTGTACGCTGTAGTTGTGACTTCAGCTGGTCCACACAGTTCACAGCGCCCTTTGTTATAGAGTATGTTGATCATAGGCTTTCCAGATCTCTCAACCACCACCTTCTTCTCATGCATGCTGGACAGTAGAATAACTACTTATCCCTTGTTTGAGAGGTAAAAAACAGTTTGCTTCTGGGAAAATGCAGTGACATTTAGGGGTTGTGTCCCACCAATGTCTTTACAACTATGCCAGTCAGACATTGTCCACCTTCACGGCCCTCCACTGAATGTGTAAGTCAGTGAAACAATAGACTTTAAATCTAATTTTCATAGTATAAAGAACACACCATAACACATCCAGCATCATAGCCCTCAGTTTACAACACTATGCTATCTAGCTGTTAGGGTTTTTTAAGCACAAAAATCGATACAATGTTTTTGAGAACTGATACTAAATCACAAAGCCCTAATAGGACAGTGATTGGTCCGGTAGCACTGTGGTTGGACACAAGTGCCAAAGCATTGGCAGAGAGAGTTTCAGGCGGCATGGTGCTGACAAACCAACAGGTAAAAGGTTTCTTCTTATCCCTTGAATAAGACTAGCGTATTGCTGCCATACTGTTTGTTATTACTGCTCCTCCACTGACCGTTATTTATAGTTTTTATTTAGTGCAATACTTTGCAGATATTTAGTTTATTTCATCATTGTAGTCCAGTTGTCCAGGTTAGGTAAAGTGAGCAGAGTATGCAGTATTTTGTTGCCAATGAAACAAACTAATGCATACATTTCTCTCTCCACTCATTTTGCTACGTGTATCACAACCATATTAAAATAGTTTTTGCTAGTATATGAGGTTCCCTCATCTGTCTTTTGGGACCGCTACTTGGACGGCATGATGACAAAACTACAAAAATAAGAATTATCCTTTAATTTCTAGTGAATCTACTGTTCTGTCATTATATTATCATGTACATTTGCCAAATGGGATATCTTATAATCTTACAGAAGCCGTTCAACCTTGGTCTTGATGCATGTGTGTAATGACAAACAAAATCAGACTACACACATACACACACACACACACAACACACACACACACACACACACACACACACACACACACACACACACACACACAAAAGAGGCGCAGGCAGGCATACAATGAAAATGTCTTTACACCCAGCAGCAATTTCTTTTCGACAGGATAAAAACAAGGCTGAAATGTGGAAAAAAAGCCCTTTGAGGTGGGTCCTTTCACCCTGACAGAGAGAGAGAAGGGGGTGGGGATGGGGGGAGACAGAGCAGCCACCTTTTTTCAATTGGTAAGCATTCAGCCAGAAAGCTCAGGCAGTCACATTTTTGTCCTTGTCTTCTCTCTTCCTCTCTCTGCTGCTATGAAAATATGTTATGTTTATAACCAGACAAAAAATAGACAAGCACTGAGAAGCAAGAAATGGGGAAAAAAAAGAAAAAGAATACCCAAATGAAAGAGTAGTAACAAGCTGAAAGTTGTGAAAATACAAATACAGGGAAGAAAAGAGCAGGTGAGGGGCCTGTAGTTATTGTAATGTCTAAATAGGACACATAGCGTGTGATACTGACAGAGTGAAGGAGAATGGAGAACACCTGCTTTAAATGAGCTATACAAGTCTTGGGGAGAGGGGGAAGGGCAATGCGAACAACAACTAACACCCCCACCCATCTCCCAACCCTGCTTCACTTTGCTGTCCTCTGCTTCTCAGACTGGGCTGTGAAGGGGCTACTGGGCTCCAAATCAGTTATGTTAATGTAACTGTTTCTACTTCATTAACTGAGTAATACGTTACAGCTGCAGTAAGTGATTTTTATACAAATATAATTTTTGTCATATTTTGCTGAAACCTTCACTATATCCTGACAGTAGTACACAAGATAGATAATCTGTGAAACAATCAGGTTCCTCTGGCTCCTTCTAGCACTCCTAATAGCATTTGCAAGAATCCACAAAGGCTGAATGAAAACAACCAATCAGAGCCAAGAAAGATATGAAGACACTTTGGGTTGGAAGCCTGAAGATAGTTGATTGTTACGCCTAATTCCCAGGGTCCCAAAGTGTCTGTATTTTACGTCATGGGAATCAGACTCAGTTATCTTTCTTGGCTGTTCCTAAATCTCATCAACCATTGCACAACTCCACATTCCCTTGGATCAGAATTAAAACACACATACGTGCGCATACATCTGATTCCTTCGTTTTGCTCTGTGTCCTGTCTTTCAGGTAAGTCCCAGCTAAGGAGGAGCTGTTGAAACCACGCTCAGATGTTGTATAGACATACCTCTATCTTGTCAGTTTTTGCGTCTCCCCAGTACAGTTTTTCTGCTGCATAATCTATAGCCAGTCCGTTGGGCCAGCCCAGAGAGCTGTTGAGCAGAACCACCCGGTCCATTCCGTCAAGGTTGGCCCGCTCAATTTTGGGATGCTCCCCCAGTCGGTCCAGTACATATAGCTGAGAGAGACAGAGGCAGAGAGGGAGATGGAGCTTACTTCTAGACACAGGGAAATGACACATTTTATAGCTAATATGTAGATTATGTTGAGGCTATCCATTTTAGTTTTTTAAGATTCTTGAACATAACGTGAATTAAATTTTCACATACCTACAGCTCAATCATTTCATAATTTCTAAGGAAAAACAAGCCTATTGCCAGTGGAGTTCAATGGTATTTATCTTTTTTGGATTTATCTAAACCATCAGGATCAACCAGATGTTTCCCTGTCTGGTATTGCCCCCAGAGTTGGGATGCAGGACTATGGTTAGCATCTAAATCAGATTTTTTTTCTATTTTATTTTGTCTTTTATCTCCCAACGTGGACAAAAACTCTGGAATGGGTATAGAAAATAGCCACATAGTTTTAATTTCTATTTGAAGAGTCTAAACTCCCAAATTCCTCATTACCCCCTAACTGTCAGAAAAACTGTTGACAACATGAACTAAGTGTCCTCAATGCTGCTGCGAGGGCTAGCTCCAAACACATGCTAACACCACCTACCCGTTAATAGGGTCCAGGACGATGGCTCTGGGTTCATCCAGGTTCTCAGAAATCAAAATTTTCCGAGAGGTCCCATTGAGCCTGGTAACCTGGAATACCACGACACAATTCAATATTAAAATACAACATACTTACAGTACGACATTGTTTATATTCGTCCAACCTGTTTGTTCATGTGTATATATTTTTAGGGACCGAGCCAGTATCAACAGGAAGGTCCCTATTGTTTTTGCTATGTTTATTATTACGCTTAGCCCTTTTCACTGCATTTTTGACCCCCTGAACATATACTTCAGATGTATTTTATTTGGCAAAGTGGTCAGGCTTTGGATATTCTATGCGTCACATTCAGCTCGGCCACTAGGTGGCGCTACTATTAATAAAAGTAGGTTTAGGCTAATAACTCCTGCATCGTTTGTCTTACATTCAAAAACCTCATATCCACGCGTTCGGTGAATGGAACTGCATCTCCCCATATAGGCCACACCCATTTCCGCCTATAATTTTTCCAATCAATTACCACGCCAAATGTCCATGCACAATGTTCCGCGTTCCATCTATATGGTTTTTATCCGATCTGCATGAAACTTTGTGCGTAGCATCTGGAGACCGTCCTGGCAAAATTGAAGTATTGTGATATAACAATAAGCACGTTATTAAATTAGCACTTCCTGTTGATTTTTCGTCAGAAAAGGAAGTGGGGCCTTTCTCCACATTGGTATGTCCGATTGACACCATCCTTGGGTCAATAGTTCCTTATGTTTTCATTAGGCATCATGCACAATTTCAGGCATTCGCCACAAGGTGGCGCTCTTTAAAATAAAGAAGTTTATATCTCCACATCGGCAAGTGTGATTAAAACGAAACTTGGTACCATGATTGCCCATGGCTCCCTGAGGCTCACTTATGAAGGAGAAAAAACCACGCCACTGGGTGGTGCTCTGGTGGCATGGTATATCACTCTGCGGAGACCGTAATACTTAAAATATGAAATTCACAGGGCACGTGTAGACTGGTGCCTGAAGCTCACATACCAAAAATTGTGTTTGTCGCGTTTGTAGCGCCCCCTGCAGTATTTCAAGAAAGCAGCCCCGACGCCACGTTTCACCGATATGTATGAAACTCGGTAGGCACGTGTGTAACGTGCCGAGACCTACAGAAAAGCCTCTTGGACCTACACCCCAAAACCCACAGGAAGTCGGCTATTTTGATTTACATTTTTACTCTCTGCGGCAATTTTGTTTATTTTCACTTTCACTTTCACTTTTTCGCCTTGTATTTGAACGAAAGACTCCTAGGGAATTTATCGGATCTGCTTCATCATTGGTCAGTACAGTCAAAAAATGTCGCTGAATGAATGCCGTGCTTTTTGTGACTGTACGTTGAAGGGCGTGTCCGTAGCGTGCTGTCAAAGTTGGCCAACTTGAATCGAATGTCAAGCTGTGATGCCATTTCCAGCATTTCAGGGCTGCTATTTAAACCAACTCCTCCTACAGATTTTATAGGATTGACTTCAAATTTGATCACTGCAATCTAAACACATTGGTGATCTATAAGTCAATCAAATATTTACTGTGCGTCAAACGGTGCGTCCGTGGCGTGGTTTCGCAGTGAAGAATCTCGCTATGAAAGTGTAAGTCTTTTACACGGTGTCTGAAACGTGTGACAATGTAGAGCAGTCTCCCTCAGATTTCGGCGATGAAGGCTTGGCGGTGACGTGGCATGGAGCTTTAATTTTGTCTTTTTTCGATCATGCCATGTTCTGTCTAAAATAAACAATGTGCAGGGAGGCTGTGGGTATTGTAACAAAGTAAACAACACTTAAACATCGGTCTTCTACAGACAGCTTTCTACAATAAGTCTCAGATGTACCTCAATCCGGTCAGTGCCAGTGTCAGTCCAGTACAGGTTTCTGGCCACCCAGTCCACAGCAATACCATCTGGGTGGTTGATCTCCGTGGTAACCAGCATCATGGCATTGCTGCCGTCAATGTGAGATCGTCGGATGGCCCGAACCTCATCATCTGTCCAATAAACGTAACCCTCAACCGGGTCATAGTCTATAGCTATGGCATGACGGATGTCATCAACCTGCATTAGCAGAGGAACTACGATCAGTACATGAAGATGAAGCCAGGATTGATACGTTTGTGTGTGTGTGTGTAGTGTGTGTGTTTACCTGTAGCACTATGTCCGTGAAATCTGGCAGGTCTAGAGAGATTCTCCTCAGGTCAGTCCGTCGAGCCAACAGTAAAACCTGCTCTGCTCCTGAACAAACAAGTTGTATTAGTTAAGTATTAAACCTTGAAGATTTTTAGTAGCAGTTAATTTAGCTCTGAAACAGCCGGTCCTACTTTGATCTCATGAATTTAATGCATTTGAACACCAGCATGTTGGTGCTTTTGGCATTTTCAGCCTTAATGAACCTATTTAGCAACACAATATTGCCAATACTGTTGTTGCTGTGCACCTGTCTGTCTGTCTGTCTGTCTGTCTGTCTGTCTGTCTGTCTCTCGCTCTCTCTCTGTCTGCCTCTCTCTCTCGCTCTCTCTCTCTCTCATCCCAACTGGTCGAGACAGACGACCACCCACCTAGAGCCAGAGGATCTGTCCTAGGTTTCTGCCTTTTAACAGGCAGTTTTTCCTTGCCCTTGTCGCCAAGGTCTTGCTCATGGTGGTACTGTTGGGTCTCTGTAATTAATGTTAAAGAGTTCGGTCTAGACCTGCTCTATTTGAAAAGTGTCCTGAGATAACTTCTGTTATGAATTGGCGCTATACAAATAAAATTTAATTGAAATTGAATTGAATATTTATCTGTTGTTGCTGTGCACCTGTCTGTCTGTTTGTCTCTCTCTCTGTCTCTGTCTGTCTGTCTGTCTGTCTGTCTGTCTGTCTGTCTGTCTGTCTGTCTCTCTCTCTCTCTCTCTCTCTCTCTGTGTCACCCCAACTGGTCGAGACAGACAACCACCCACCTAGAGCCGAAGGATCTGTCCTAGGTTTCTGCCTTTTAACAGGCAGTTTTTCCTTGCCCTTGTCGCCAAGTGCTTGCTCATGGTGGTACTGTTGGGTCTCTGTAAATAATGTTATAAAGAGTTCGGTCTAGACCTGCTCTATTTGAAAAGTGTCCTGAGATAACTTCTGTTATGAATTGATATAGTGGAGTCATGGTGTCATTCCCTCTGCCTGTGTTGCTATCGCAACCTCTCTGTGGTTTGTTTCCATAGCCGGTCTGCTCCATGTGCAGCTGAGTAGAGTGACTGAAACTGCTGTTTTTATTGTCTACGTCTATGAATTAGAACTTTATTTCCACCAAACCAGAGATGTTGATTGTTGGAAAGACTATCAGAGATGGTGAATTTTATTTCTGTCCCATTGTTTTGTCTTAAATGCTAGTGCCCTAGTGCAATGTCCAGTGGCAAGTGAATTTCATGTATATAACCTTTAAGTACACTACTTGAGTAAACATACTATTTTATTATTCTCCATCTTTGTCTAATGGAGAGAGAACACCAACACCAACATGATGTTCTATTAATTCACAAACAACCACTGTGGAAAGGAGCAGAAACATTGCCTATAATAATTAAGAATAATTAAGTTCTATAAACGTAAAGTGAAAAAGATGTTAAGCCTGAGCCAAGCTCACTCTTATCACTTTTCTTGACTCCTCCTTGCTCCATCTGGTCTGGAAACAAAGGGCTCTGCTGTCCTGAGGGATCCTCCACTGTTTGGCTGTTGGTTTAGATTTAACAGGAGCCAAACTCACCTCATGGGAGTCAATTAACTGTTTTTTCTTTGTCTCTCACACCTCTGATTCTGAAGAGCTCACATTTAAAGCAGTTCAAAGTGTCTCTCCCTTTCTGTTCCCCCTATCTGCCTTACCTTTAAGCCTCTGCCTTCTTTCCCGTCTTTTAGTCTTACATTTCAAATCAATTCACTTGAATCTTGATTGTATAGCAGACGTAACACTGACATTACAAGTACGTCCATAAAAATCTACATTTTATAAAACCTAAAAAGACAGTTAATTATTTATAATTAAACTGTGTACTCTGCAATATGATTATACAATACATAGTACATGAGCTAAATATCTAAAATAATGTCAGATAGGTCAGATATGAAAAACACATGGTTCTGCGAATAACGTAAATCCTTTTCCCTCTCTTATTGCAGCTGCACTTTCACAACCAATCAATATCTGGCATCTCTCAGCCTTGGCACCAATCAGATTTGACATTGAAAGTTGTTCCATCGTTACCTAAATGACTGAGGCGAGGGGGGGATAAATGAAGGGAAAGAATGACAAGGAAGGAGGGAAAGCATCTGTGATTCCACTCTTGTCTTCGCTTGACTTCATTCTGAGACACTTAAAGACCCCTGACAAACAGTCTCCCTCTCTCACACACACACACACACACTCACACACACTCTGCTGCCAGCGCAATAACAAACGCCTTCAATTTAACCAGCCAAGCAAAACAAATTAGAAGCACGGACACAAAGACGCACACACACACACACACACACACACACACACACACACACACACACACACACACACACACACACACACTAACTGCAAGCTGACACAATAGAGCATTGTTGTTTTTATTGTCAACAGTGGCTAAGTAATTGGTTGGCATGCTTCATTCAAATTTAATACAATCACATAACACAGCCTAACAGACACATACGCACTCTAACGCAGAGTTGGGTTTTTGCAGAAGAAGGCTCCATTGTTTTAGCATCGTGGGAATCAACATGGCGACCGGTCAGTTAATATTCCATTCTGCTAGCAGAGAGGTCATTTTTACTTGTTTTCAAGCTGATGCTCTATGTGCATCACTACCTTAGACACCAAAGACAATGACGATGGAGGTCAGCAACAGCAAACACTAATTACTCTATGTATCCACAACTAGGGTCGGGTTTCAATAGAAGGTATCAAATCTCACTCTAGTATCTCATGTGCTCATCGAATCTCAATCAAATCAATTATCAAACAGGGCTGCAACTAATGATTATTTCCATTATTGATTAATCATCATCATTTTCTTGATTAATCCATTAGTTATTTGCTCCATAAAGTGTCAGAAAATTATGAAAAATATCGATCAGTGTTTCCCGAAGCCCAAGGTGACGTCCTCAAATGTCTTGTTTTGTCCACAACCCAAAGATATTAGGTTTACTGTCAGAGGACTAAAGAAAGCAGAAAATATTCACAGTTGAGAATCTGAAATCAGAGAATTTGGACATTGTTTCTGAAAAAAATTACTCAACACAATAAATGATCAAATTAGTTATATAATTAGTTAGTTAGTTAATTAACTAATCGTTGTACACTCACAGTTCACTTACACTAGCTTTCTCTGAAGCTTTTTAAAAAATCTCACCGTCTTCCTGAACAGCCTGTCATGAATTTGTCATGGAGATAGCTCAGTTGTTAACACAGGATCTAATTATGGAACACTGTATTTGGTGGTACGTAGCCACAGATGCTGGACCCCTTACAACGGTCAGTGCTGTAGAGTGGTAATCCAGCCCTCAAGTACTCCTATTTGGGTCAGCAAACTACATGGTATTCATAATCTATTCACTTGAAATTCTGTTTTGTTACAACAGAGATTTTATTTCAACGTCAATTATGTAGTTTTACTCATCAGCATCATTAGCTACATTCACACTGCAAGCCTTAGCGCTCAATTCTGATTCATTGCTCAGATCAGATTTTTTTTGTTTAGCTATTTTTTCACTGTGACCTATATCAAATTCCAGTTTGAACAGGTCACAGTCCTTAAGTGACCTGCATGATTATCGTAGATCTTAAGGGATATAAGAGACACATGAATTCTGACATGAATGTTCACTGAGGTCACACTGCAAAAAATCAGACCTGTATCTGATTTAGACCACATATGAAAGTGGCCTGAATCAGAATAGAAAAGATCAGATTTCTTGTGGTTTTTGCTGTTCACACTGTCATTAAAAATCTGATCCGAGTCAGATATAAGCAAAGTAATGCAATTTGGTTCACTTTGGCCTGCAGTCTGAACAGAGTTGGATCTTATTATCCATATTATAGTAACTTTTTTTGTCTTGTTGGCATATGGAGTTTATATAGGTAATTGAATCAGCAAAACATACTGTGTATGCTTTTGTTGCTAAAAATGAGCTTGTATGTGTCACGCTTGTATCATGACAAGATAGGCGAGACGTATGTTGACCCCCCAGACTGTGGTAGCAGCTGCCACGGCAAGTATAAAGAGCAAAAGACTTGCTAACTGTAGCCCCAGTGTGTGCCTCTCACATATACCTGCTGGCTGCATTAGTAATCCTGACCATGCTGGTGGAAAAAACAAGTTTCTTGTTCTTCCTGTGAAAGATGAATTCCTTTGCAGTGGCAGTAAACACAACACATGTATTAACAGCTTAATAAGATATTCGGGGGTGACAAAAGCTAACAACAATAAACAGCATTGCTATGGCTTTGTACTGACAATCCCCCACAGACAAACTTCAGAGAGGCTCTCATATTAGAGCTATGCTAGCTCAGTTACAACACAGGTACCCACACATCTCTCAAAGGGCCATGAACATGCTTCTAGTGACTGTCAAATCTCCGCCACACTCCCTGTCCTTCAGCAGGGAAACGGACAGTCTGAGAGTAGCTTCTCATGGCTGGTAACGTCAGACTGCCAGGTCTACATCAATGCTAAACTGAGTTGTGTTCAGTCAGCATCACACCAGTAGCCCCCAGCATCACACACTTCGTAGCCATGAGGCCTCTAACGGTCGCTGCTCTCTCACTCCTCTGCTGCATTATTTAAATATGCTGAGAGGAAGGGTTCTAGCAGAATTTGAGGATGTAGTTATCTCATTTAAAAGTAAAACGTATATGATGCATTAAAAAAGTGACTAATGAGTAATTATACTGGTTCTGAAAAAACACCTCTTACAGGTTTTAGGGATTACAAGACACTGATAATCCCTAAAACCGGTTTGGATAGTTTTTGTGGTCATACTGGTGTTAATAAGATCCATACCTGGCTTGCATGTCTTCCCATCTGGTTTAAGCTGGACTCCAGTGGGACAGGCACAGCTGTAGAAAGGCTGGACTGGAGACAGCAGGCAGAGATGACTGCAGCCTCCATTATTGTCACTACAGGGAGTCTGGACTGCAGTGGCACAAACAGAAAAACCAGACACAGAAGAATACAGAGGTGACAGAGAAAATATGATTAGTTTCTCAAAACAGCAAATCCATTTCTCTTTGTTTTTATGAAGACAGTGTGAAGATATAAATAAATGTAACCTAGTATAAGCTTTACAAATCTAGTGTATGTTGCTACAAAGATTTGTGTTCTATAACAAGTATGGGCGGCTGTGGCTCAGAGGCAGAGCGGGTCGTCCACTAATCAGAAGGTTGTTGGTTTGATCCCCGGCTCCTCCCACCACATGTCGAAGTATCCTTGAGCAAAACACTGAACACCAAATTGCTCCCGATGCTGTGTCATCGGTGTGTGAATGTGTATGAATGTCTTAGTTTCCATTTGATGGACTTTGCCATCACTGAGTGAATGTGTGTGAAAGGGTGAATGTGGCATTTAGTGTAAAAGCGCTTTGAGTGAGGCGCTATACAAGTACAGGTCCATTTACCATTTATGTACATATTTCTCAATAAGATCAATCCAGATCAATCCCAGAACAATCACACGAACTCCAGTTCACTGTAACTGCTGGTATATTGATCTCACTAATGCATGCATAGTATGCACTGTACTATTCTGTAGAACTTACTGTAAGGCTGTCGATAGGACTCCAGGACCTGGATGTCCATGGGAGAGTAAATCCCACTGAGGATCTCTCTGGCTTTGTCTCCACTGTGTTTGTTGCAGGCATGGATGGAGCGGGTCTGCCAGTCAGTCCAATATAAGGTCTCCTCAGAGAGCGTTAGTGCAAAAGGATGGGTCAGGGTGCCCTCCACCACTGTTTCACTGAAGGACAAAATAAAAGCTTCTTTAGAATGAGAGGAAGGTTTGTGTTTTATGTCGGAAAAGCCTGTTGCAAAATGCTATTTTGGTTTTATTGAAGCAAGCCACACAATATTTCTGAAATTAAAAATCTACAGATATTTCAACACAATATACAAGATTTCAGTTCTTGAGACCATTATTCAGTGCTACAGTTAAATTTTGATCAGTATCAAAAGTATTGAGATCTGATACTAAGCCCTACATCCACCTCAGTTCACTTGGACGCAAAACACACTAGTGAAAAATGGCTCTAGGATCGAAAATATCCTAGAGCCATTAGTGGTTTTTAAAGAAAGCGTTAAAAATAAAGCTTCACTGGGAAGCATTTATTTATTGTATATAAGTGACATTTTGGTCTGATGGAAACACTATAAGAAAGATCAGAGAACACTTAGACCACATTCCACATCATTGTGATCAGAAGTTTGACCTCAACGACGCAGATTTAAGATTCTTAACACTACAAAAAGCATGGAGGAGTGTGTATGAGAATGAAGTGTTAGATCTGATCAGGAGAGAGTCGCTCTTCTCTTAAACACACTTTAGAATCACTTACAGGAAAATGCGCTCACAAAAACGTGTTTCGGCACAGGATCAAAGGAGTCTTGTATTTAGAATATAAACACACCAGAAACTGGCTTTCATCAATCATCGTTTTAGTCCTGTGTGTGTGTGTGTGTGTGTGTGTGTGTTTTGTGTGTGCATGCGTGTGTGTGCGCTGTATAAGCAGAAGTGCCTGCCAGCAGTGGTTAAGGGAAAAAAAGAAAGAACAAATGTAACCAACTCCAGATTTCAAAGCTCAGTTCAGCTTGTGTGTGAGTGTGTGAGTGTGTAAGTGTGTGTGTGTGTGTACAAATTAATAAGCAAACAGGCAAATTATTTCATCACTCAAGCTGTCAGGTACATTCAAATTAGAGTTGTGCATGTACGTGTTTCTACTGTGACTCGATAGCTGTTAGTACAACAGAATGCCACATGTTCCTAACGTACATATGAACATACCCTGCCTTGGCTGCACGATGAGCACTGTGGTTATATAAAAATACTGCGTTGTGCAGCTTCAAGCATTAAGAAGGAGAGCTGCATATGGTGGTTGCAGAACTAGTGTGCTGTTGCCATAGAAACAAAGTTGCTGGCTCAGGTTACCACATTTTTCCAACAGCGTCAAACATTTCCACTAAGTTTTGGTCTGGATTTTACCCAACCTCTACACCAAATTGTAGCCACTATAGAAATTATCTGCAGGTAACAAATTACACTACCCTAGCAGTAGTTTCCAAGGAAACCACAGACTATCTGGTCAGTATCTAGTTCTGACAATCTATGTTGCGGACTGGTACAATAAGCAACGAACAAATAGTCTAAAATCGTACTTTTTTTTTATGGATTTTATGGATTTTTTGACAGCCAATGATAGAGAGATGGCAGGAAATGAGGACAGAGAGAGGGATCGGGAATGGCCTTGCAAATAAAGGTCTCAGGCTTGATGTGAACTATAAATGATTAGTCCCCATGGGTAGGATTTCTGACTTTGGTGACTCCTAGTGGTTGTATTAAAAAGACACTATGGTCAACAAAATTGTAATTGGTCAAGAAGAACTGAACCTTCCTCCCCTTTTTGCTCAGTTGGAACTTTCCCCGTTTCCTGTTTTTAGATATGCAATGTGCTACAAGATTAAAGCAATATATATATAGTCACATCTTAAGTTGGCTAATGTTAGCAAAACACTAGCTAACTAACTAATCTACACCAATCATTAGCTAGCTAGTTATATCTGAAAGATAATGTTAGCAAAACACTAGGTAACTTGCTAGCTAATTAAGATCAATTGCTAGGGTTGTTGACAGTTGATCAAGGTTCTGACTGATCAAATGTTACTGGAGCACAGTCCAAAGAGAGGCAGGAGATAAATATATATATATATATATATTTTCATATCAGCCACTCAAGTTAGATAAAGTTTGCAAAATGTTAACTGGCTAGATAATCGACAACAATCATTAGCCAGCTAGATCTGTTTTGTTAATATTAGCTAACATAAGATGTGCAACTTTTCAACACAGTATATGTCTGACCTGAATAGCAGCAGATTAACATAAAGGCAGCAGCAAGGTGAAACAATCATACTTCTCCTGAGGTTAGTGATCTTGAAACGGAACTAGTTCAACATTAAACTTTAGTAAATGATTGTCTAGTCACTTCCCTTGTAAGTGGAGCACCAAGAGAATGATGGAGACGAGCTGGACGGATAAAAAGAGAGAGAATGATAAGATGTGGGGAAAGAAGGCTGATAGATGGAGAAAAGGAGAGAAGGAAAGATTGAGCTGTGAGAGAGATGCACTGGGAGTGTGTGTGGAGCTGTGTGTTTTGACTGGGGCCTCCATACCACAGCTCTGTTTGTGTTGGACAAATCTCTCATACTCTCTCTCTATATATATTTTTCTTTCATTCTGTCTGTACAGTTTTTTTTCTCCTCCTCCTCCTCCCCTTCTCTGTTGGAAAGAAGTTGAACAGGGCGAAAACTAAAAGAATTTCTGCTGATCTGTAAAGTTTCAATAAAGGGAACCTGAAATAGTGTTCTGTGCTACAACCTTTAAAGCTGCTAGAATTTTAAGTGTTTTATTTAAGTGTTTGTCCATAATAGCAGCTAATAAGTGAGACAACCATGGTATTATAAACCTTTCATCAGTATTGATCAGAAGCTTTTAAGATTGACTGAATGTTTTAACCTGGGGTTTTGAGAAGTGATCATCTTACTGAGTACTGACATTTTCATGGCAGCCTTTCTACTGTTTGATTTAATTTTGATCTATGGGTAATTCCATTGGCACTTTTGTACACTACGAGTCAAACCATGCAGAGCTTATTTGCTTCTCCATTACTAGTTTAAACGTGCCGAGCTGGGTCGAGCCGTGCCCAAGATGGACCATCTGGGCCAAAGGGCGCCTGACTGCTTACAAGCGGATTGCGGTGACGTAGGCCAGTTTCTCTCCTCTGTTCCTGTTTGTACCTTTGGATATCTGCTTTATTTGTGTATTATGTTTCCAACATTTCCTGATTTGATAGCTTCATAATAAAAGCTTTTAAATAACAAAATAAGCAGAGACTTTCTTTGTGCGCTGCTGTAACCCCTAATTTAGTCTGGGATCAACAAAATGTTATCTTATCTTGTCTTATATTACTGGTAACCAATCACACAAATAGGGTTGTCACAATAAATAACATTTCAATACTGCTTCAAATCCATAACAAACTATCATCTAGAAAATGTCAATACTTGACAAAAAGAAAATATTTCATTGTGGAGCTTAGAGCAATTAATGTCAATTGTTGAGTGAGCTAATAGGACCATTAACTAGCTAGTGGCAGCAGCTAGTACATATGCATATGCAACAGTGCTGTTACAAGAGAAAAGGTCTGTGTTGCAGCGATACCCTGATACTTTCGTCCCAGTGACAAGGCGTAGCTCCTGAACTAAGCTTAATGTTGTTTTTTATGAGAATGAAAAGTGGGTCGACTAAGACTCTGTTGACTTTTGACTAATGGTTTAGTCAACCCAAAAAAATGTCATGCTGGGGTTTCATTGCTCATTGAAAGTATATCTGCTACCATCATTACTGCTGCTTTTTAGCTTTCAGTCAGCACCACTTCCACACTCTGACTCTAGCCGTCTGGGGAAAGATATTTTGTATTATCACACAGCTGTCTCCTTTACTGGTAGGGGTGTATGCTGAAGGGAGTGATGAGGTCTGGGCCAAGCCGTCGGAGGTGAACTATACTGCTGGGCTGTGTTCACATATCAATAAACCTTTCCCTGAGTTGGCTGACTGAACTGTATCCGTAAAAATACTCACCACTCTCTAACTTTAAGTTCATTTGACATTTCAGGTACTTAAAATTAGATGTAGTTTCTTAAAATAAGCTTATAGAGCTTTTTGTGTATAATAATTTGTACTGAATATAAGCGTAGAGGTTAGCACAGGTCTACTGCAACAAACAAACAAAGTTCCATACCGTGCTGATCCATCTAGGTTAGCTTTGTGGATGAAGCTGAGTTTGGCATCTGCCCAGTACAACTTCTGCTGCACCAGGTCTATTGTCAGACCATTGGGCCAGTATATGTCCACATCCACTATAACCTTCCTGTTAGAGACAAAGGCACATAAAATGATCTTACAAATACTGCTTTTGTTTTTATTATTATTGTTCTTGTAGAATTTTTACTGCTTCTGAACATCTAGATGATACAGTACTGTACAGAAGTTGGGTTTGCTTAAGGGTTATATATTTACAGTACCTGTTGCTGCCGTCCATACCAGCACGCTCTATCCTGGGCTCCTCTCCCCAGTCTGTCCAGTACATGTAGCTGAAGGAAAAAACAGAGAAGAAATACGTCAATAAAACAAATATAGGGCCACTTTACAATTTAGAGGTAAGTATGAATTTTGTGATTCTCAAAGACACCAGAGCATCTGTACGGGATCAATAAGGTTTTTGATCACTACTGGTTAGTCCCTGAAACTCCTCACTCTCGCTTTTTCGTACAAAAACTCCCCATCTACCAAAATTATACTTGTCTTCTGTATCTGATTGCTTTTTAATGTAAAATAATCACTTTAAAGTTGTATATATGAGCTTTAAAACATGAATATAACAACTAAATATATAGTGGAGTCATGGTGTCACACTCCCTCTGCCTGTGTTGCTATCGCAGCATCTCTGTGGTTTGTTTACATAGCCGGTCTGCTCCGTGTGCAGCTGAGTAGAGGGACTGAAGCTGCTGTTTATCATCTACATCAGTGATAAATGGTTTCAACCAAAGAGTTGGTGACTGTTGGAACAGTGGAAAGACAAACAAAGACAGTTTGGGTGAGTTTTATTTTGTTTCTGTCCAATTTGAAGAATGTTTTATGATTATCTGCTAGGAAAAATGACTGATTTTGTCACTGGATTTGGTCTAGTGGGAAGTGAATTTCATATATATAAACTTTTATGTTTCCAATAATTACCGTTCACTACCTTGGTGAACTGTAATTATTCATCCAGTCATTTTAATTACATTAATTTTCTCCATTTTACTATCCTCCATTTCCTTGCTTTGTTAGGGAAGTAGATATTCATTCAAATCTGCATAAATCTATAAAAAAAAGTAACTTATAAAATAAATACTCAAAATATAAAGTACTATGCATTTAATGGGAAAAATAACCAAAAAATAACAGAGAAGGAATATTATTACATAATATAAGTTGCTATTGTACTAAAGATGTGCTGTTTCTATAACATAAATCATATCTACAGTAGAATTGGCTCTGCTCTGGGTGAGTTCACAGTAAAATTAAAGCTGCAAGCAGCATTGGGCGGGACCTCGCACTCCACGCAACTCGGGGCGTGCTGCGGCCGCGTCACGTGCCGTCGTAACACGTGCGGACCACGACATGAAAATCTCACGTAAATCAGCTTAAAATCACCAGGCAGCGGTTGCTTCCTGTTGCCAGTAGGTGGCGCTATCACTATGTCTGAATATTGTGATGTAGACGTGTTCAGGGCGGGACTCTTATCAAACACGTGAAGTTTCATTGAGATTGGACCACGTACGCTGAAGTTATGGGGACGTGTTCAGGGCGAGACTGTTAGAGAATATATGAAGTTTATTGGAGATTGGACACTGAAGTTATGAGTACGGTTTAATGGCAAATCGGCTGAATTCGACAAGTCGTCACTGGCACACGGTTTGACGTACAGTCACAAATAGCTCAACTTTTCAATCAGTTTGTATGACCACAGAATTCAAAATGGCCAACTTTGAAGGTACGACACAGACACGCCTTTCAACGTACAGTCTCAAATAGCACAACTTTTGTTAACCAATGTGAATTTGAAGTCAATCTGATAAAATCTGTAGGAGGAGTTCGTTAAAACAGAAGCCCTTAAATGCCGGAAATGGCATCACAGTTTGATTGATTCAACCTGGCCAATTTTGAGGGCACGCCACGGACACGCCCTTCAACGTACAAGCACAAATAGCACAACTTTTAATCAGGACCATTTTTTGACTGAACTGACCAATTTTGAAGCAGATCTGATAAATTCTCTAGGAGGAGTTCATTCAAATACAACGCGAAAAATCACAGAAAATGACCCAAAAAATCAAAATGGCTGACTTTGATGCCACGCCACGGACGCGCCCTTTAATGTGAATGCACAAATAGCACAACTTTTAATCAGCACCATTTTTTGACTGTACTCACAAATTCTGAAGCAGATCTGTTGCTGATTAGAAGTTGTGCTATTTGTGACTGTACGTTGAAGGGCGTGTCCGTGACGTGCCCTCAAAGTTGGCCAGGTTGAATCGAATGTCAAACTGTGATACCATGTCCGGCATTACTGACTTCCAGCTTTTTTTTGCGTTGTATTTGAACAAACTCCTCCTAGAGAATTCATCGTATCTGCTTCAAAATTGGTCAGTACAGTCAAAAAACATTGCTGATTAAAAGTTGTGCTATTTGTGCATGTACATTAAAGGGCGTGTCCGTGGCATGGCATCAAAGTCAGCCATTTTGAATTCCGTGCTCATTTTCTGTGATTTTTCGTGTTGTATTTGAACGAACTCCTCCTAGGGAATTTATTCGATCTACTTCAAAATTAGTCAGTACAGTCAAAAAATGGTGCTGATTAAAAGTTGTGCTATTTGAGACTGTACGTTGACTGTACGTCTGTAGCGTGAGGTCAAAGTTGGCCATTTTGAATTCTGTCATCATACAAACTGATTGAAAAGTTGAGCTATTTGTGACTGTACGTCAAACCGCGTGCCAGTGACGACTTGTCGAATTCAGCCGATTTGCCATTAAACCGTACTCATAACTTCAGTGTCCAATCTCCAATAAACTTCATATATTCTCTAACAGTTGCCCTGAACACGTCCTCATAACTTCAGCGTACGTGGTCCAATCTCAATGAAACTTCACGTTTGATAACAGTCTCACCTTGAACATGTCTACATCACAACATTCAGACATAGTGATAGCGCCACCTACTGGCAACAGGAAGTAAGCGCTGCGTGCTGATTTTGAGCTGATTTACGTGAGATTTTCATGTTGTGGTCCGTACGTGTTACGACGGCACGTGACGCGGCCGCAGCACGCCCCGAGTTGCGTGGAGTGCGAGGTCCCGCTCAACGCTGCTCCCAGCTTTAATTCAAATTGAAGTTGACTTCAATAGAACAGCCTTTTTTTAATATATTTATGGGGCGTGGAGGACTCAACCTCGATACATGGAATGCCAGCTCCACCAGGTGAGCTGCTAGGGCACCCCTCAGGCATAGGACGATGTGAAAATGTCATGCTACATCTTATTTTGGCCAAAATAATTGCAATACACAATATTATCACGATAATCATGAGAATATACTTAATACAAATGGCACTAAAACATACTGAAATCACTTTACATTACATCTAGTTAAACACATACAGTTATTACATATCACGATACATGATAATATTGTATATCGTCCCATCCCTAGTTAAACTGACTAAGCATCACTTAATTCTGTTTGAAATAAACTAGGGTTAGTTAAATCAGAGCAACAAAGTGTACTGACCTTGCCTGAAAGATGATTTTAAAATGACTTAGGCAATCTGATCCCATTTAGCCAATCAATCAGGCAGTCTGGGGTTGTCTATATTTGTCCTATTGTCAAGATCAAAACCAACAACATCTCTCAATACCTTCTGACTTCCACACCTGAGTTACCTGAATGAACTGGATTCTACTGAATGTTTATTTTCATCGTCTGCATTTCTTTTGCACGCAGTACTTTAATAAATTACTCTTACTTGCTTTTTTCTTCGTGCAGCTGTTGTTGCACTTGCAGTGACGTGGTGAGTGAGAGGCTCTCCGTCACTTACTTTTTTTTTTTTTTTTTTACTTTTCTATGCAACCAGGATCATGTGATCTGCATTTGTATTCATCTCAGTTTACATTTACTACACTGTCTGGCAGTTGGGAGTTTAAACACAAAAATCGATACCAGGTTTTGTAAAATTGCTGCCCTGGTGAGTAACATGTTATCAGACACAGCAGGAATGTTGGACACTATCAAAATAAAACGCTCTTTTATCTCTAATCTCTAACCTAACTTCTTTATTTATGAGGTTTTTACAACAGTCCAGGTGAATACATATACAGATATAAAGCAGTGCACCAGGATGAGAGCAAAGATCATTAGTTGTTTTCACAATATTTAAACCTGTTTGGTCTCCACAGCTGATCAGTAGACCTGTTGTTACATTTAGACAAATTGGCACTAACCTGGTTTCTTGTGTGCTTGTAAACATAATCAAATCAGTTATCTTATTGTCCCCTGTGCCAGTGTATTTTCATCTTTCCTATTTTCTGCCGCCTGCCCTGCACCCACCGATGTTCAGATATATCAGCAACTCCAAACACAGACACACCCTGTTGTTATCCTAAACTATATATAAATGTTAGCTGAACATATTTGCAATCTGACTGTTCCTGGAGCTGACACGGTATATGTGCTGTTCAAGAACTCTGTTTACAGTATGATAGACCCATAATGCTTGAGCAATACAGGAAAAAAAGAGTGTTGACAAAAAGGATTCAGTGCATTTAGCCTGAATTCAGGAGGTCAGTGGACTCACTGAACCTCTGGTTTCAGTGTAGTAAAGTTAAAAAAACACCTTTGTACCCCAACCATCATAAAAACTGAGAAAATACAATCATCTGTCATTTGAGTTAAATAACAACCCAGGCAGTTTCACATAACAAGGTCAAACACCATTTAAGGCAATTAGCAGAAGTGCTCTTTTCCACTAACTGTAAACTAAAAGGACTGAATCAACCAACAACAGTAAATCCATCGTCTGAGGAGCTCAGGCTTTGCTGATCCAACAAGTTGTGTGTAAAGGAGAAGGGAGGTCAGTGTGAGGTCAAACCACAGAGTGAGGAAACTGTGCAGAGCAGGCCCTCTATATCACCATCTTTTCTATTCACTTCATTCGCTCTTTGTATCTCATTGTAGTTTCTTCTTCAAACTTGGTAGGGGAGGGTGAAGTGAGGGAGTATGTGGCAATCTGCAACTACCTTGCTAGAAGGCACTAAATCCTTTAAAAAAACAAACTATGCTGTTTTCATCCTGTTTACTTGTCTATTGAATTTCTGATGTTAGCTGCTTTTCCACCAGATGGCACGGCTAAACTCAACTCTACTCTACTCGCTCTTTATTGGGTTTCCATTATGGTACCCGGTACTTTTTTTGGTACCACTGCAGTCGAGGTTCCGAACAATCTGAGCTGCTACTGAAAGGTGACATTAAAACACTGCAGACATGGGACATCCTGCACAAACCCTAAATTATTAAATAGCCAAGCTACCATCAATAGTAAAGACCATTTTTCATTCCCTCAAAAAGGCAGCAAAACCACACCGTGGTCAACTGCAGTACAGACATATCAGGAACACCATCCCGTCATATCCTCTTTTATAAGAGTAGAGCAGTTAGTGTGTGGATGAGTGAATGAGAGAGAGAGTGGTGAATGCGAACGGTGCAGAGGAAAAGAGAGCAGTGAAGTTGTCAATCTGGCTGTAAATGTACAGTGGTAGGGCTGGGCATGGTTAAGAACCTCACGATTCGATTCGATTTTGATTCTTTAGGTCACAATTCGATTTCATTTCTATTCGTTATTGATTTAAATGCTTCGATATCGATTCAGCAATAAGTAGAATTAAACAAATAATTCATTAGAGTACCTGTTGACAATTTTAAAAGCTTCGGGACGGCGACTTCCGTCGTGTGTTTGCGTGTTGGTATGGCGTATCGTGGTTCGAGTGTGTATACCATCTTCTTAAAACCCCCGTTTTCCACGACACTGTACGGTCGTAGGTCCTTACATATGAAGACGGCCACAGACTCCGTTATCTTCTGTGCGCGGGCAGAGTTTGGCGGCAAAGGATGGATCTGTCGACTTGCGTCTGTTTTGAATCCACAGGCTGGTTTAACACTGCTGCTACCTGCTTCGGTTGCCATGTTGTTGTTGTTGTGTGGTTGAGTGTGGCCTCCGTCCATACAACGCAAATCACACACAGGTGTTGCTCACCGCCCCCCACTGGCCAGGGGCTTCAATGAATCGATTCAGAGGATTTAATGAATCGATATTGAATTGGGAAAAAATATATTGCAATGCATTGATGAATCGATATTTTTACCCACACCTCTACGGTGGTTGGCTTCCCATGAACAACGTTTCCTGGTTGTTTCCCAACTGCGTCACTAGGCTACAATGAGGGGGTACAATCCAAAGTACTATCTACAGTAGAAAGCGACACAGAGGTTCCAAAAGTAAGTCCAATCGAGCCAAACCGTGAAGTGGAAAAACAGCTGTAGTTCAGTCACTGCTTCTGAGAGCAGTGACACCATAACAAAGGTCTCTATGGATTCAACAGATGGACACTTTCAGGAGGACACTTTCATGGCTACCACATCTGCCCTCTGTTGTGAATTCAGAACAATTCTTTTCTAACTGAACACACCTTTACAACTTAAATAACTCATTAACATTTAAAATACATTGTACTCTAACAGCCCTATGACGAGTGTGTGTATGTCACCGTTGAGCAGGGTTGAGAGCGATAGCCCTGGGCTGGTCCAAGTCCATCCAAAACAGGACCTTCCTGGAGGTGCCATCCAGGTTGGCCACTTCGATCCGATTGGTCTCAGAGTCTGTCCAGTAGAGTTTTCTACCCAACCAGTCACAGGCCAGCCCGTCAGGACTGTCCAGCCCTGATACCACCACAGTCTGGCCAGTCCCCAGCGCCTCTTTAAGGGCTGCAACCAGAAAACATACAGAGTGTGAAACAGTGACAAGAAGGAGGGTGTATTCTTCATTAAACCACTTAACATCAGCATTAAAACACCACAGTTATTGTTGGTCTTAATGAGGAAATCTTCACTAAGCAGGATAATAAGCACACAGGAAACAGTATGCAGTCTTACAGTTGGATGACTGATTCCAGTGCGTCTGTTTGATGGCCTCCTCACTGACATCTGTCCAAAATATCAGGCCCTCAGCGTACAGGAAGTCCACTGCCGCTGCATCCTCCAGGTCACTAACAACGATGGCCGACTCACCCCGCACACCCTCTGCATCTACCAATCGTACGTCACGCCGGTTGGCGAAGAGGAGAAGAGGTGAGCCTGAAAAAAAGAAGATACTTTCATCAACATTTGAAACATTACATTGAAGAAAGTATAGTTATTTACCACAGTGAGAACAGAATACATGTTCAAAGTCTTGTCACTGTATCACACTTTCTGAATGCTGGTATTGAAAAGTTAAGCCCGACTTTGCCCAACTGGTCAATATAACAATAGCTTGATTATGGATTATAGATGAGTGCTGCAGTTTGGTTTAGGTTTGCAATGAATGCTTATGTTGAATACAATATGCCAACAGATGCACCAATGCCAATACAATGTTTAAAATAACAATTTGGTATTTCTTACAGTTATTTATACACCCGTTTCGTGGTGGTAATAAGATAAGCATCTCTGGTTACTGCTCTGTGACATGAAAATCTTTGAAATGAACTAATTGTTATTCTCTTAGTAAAAGCTCAGAGAGGCAAACTGTCCAGTGTCTGTGGGGGGACTGTCAGTGTCTGGGATCAAGGTAAAGAGACCGCAGTCTGGTGCTTCTATAGCAGCTAAAATAGAAAAATACTAAGTAGACAAAAACTAGCATAAACTCCTTTGAATTCCTTTGAGCTCCCACTCAAAGCAGAGGCTGGGGGAGGTGGGCCGCCCTCCTCTGATTAGAGCGCAAAAAACTGTTTAGGTGTGGAGTACCTCTTTAAAGAAAAAGTGGACAACATTTTAGCTTTCAGCTGCTCTGTTTCAAGGGTCACCGTACTGAAGACAAGCCTGACAGACCACATTTTGCAATGTGCAAACTTGAAAAACTCTATTGATCAACCTCATTTCCATTTCCACTGACGCATTAACTTTTGAGAACACAGAAAGTTCTGCTAACCCTTCTGGCATTACTGTTGTTGCATTGGTGTTTGAGATGTAACCATATCCTCTCTAAGGTTTATTTACACTGATTTTAATTTGGTGGTTATGCACTTTTGAGAAGTAGTTAGTATGGAAGTAATTAGTGAATTTAAAGGGGCACTCCACAAATTTTACACAATTTTATCAGTTTACTATTCATGAGGAGTACTATTCAGCCTGTGAAAACAGTTGTATCATGTCTTCTCTGTTACGTCTTGTGAAATAACCCTGACCATGTCATGAGTGTAAGGGAAAATATAGGATTTAGTGTTTTGGGGCTTAAAGGGGGACAAAAAGACAGGATACCTCAATTGTGACCATTATTTTTCAAATCTGTCTTCTCAGTCAAGAAGACCCCCGGTCAACTTGCATTATGTCAGCAGAATCTGTGCACTTTTGTTTTTTAGCTGTGTTACTGTACACAGAGTGACAGCATGGCAGGATGTAAACGTTACAGAGTCTCAAAATGAGCACAAACCACAAAAGTGAAGTCAGTGAAGTCAGCTTAACTGTGTTTTTCACATCACAGATGACAAAGAAAGGCAATCAAAACGTGAAGTGGGGTAAGATGTGAGACTTGTAGCCACGTTTCCACCACAGGAACTGCTGACATAGGACTTTAGTGTGGCACTGAACTGAAAAACTGAAAAAAGAGGAACAAATTGTCCCACCATTATATTGAACAGTGAAATCCGATACCACTGACAAAATTCGGAGTGTTCAGAGTTCAGTCCTACTGTCAAGAGAGGCACCACTTTTGTATCACTTTAATTTCAAAACTATTGATAATTCACACACATGAATCAAATGAATAAGAATCACTCTTGGACTGAATTGCAAACCATCAAATTTGATCAACTTCCCAACCAAAATGTGTTCCAAAGTCAGAATGAAACACACATTTGTTGATGTTTCAAGCTGATTTTGACTTTTTGAAATACCATCATCAAGTCAACCACCTATCAGTTTAGGGCTTTAGGGCCACTACTACTTAGTGGTCCTATTAGCCAACTGTACCCAGACTGGGAATTTGACTAGCCTACTAGCGTAGTTGTGGGGAATACTTCCAAGGAGCAGGACGGAATGAGCAACAGAACTAGAGTGGGGCGAGCGAGCAACGGGTTCACAGCCTCAAATACCAACAGAGACCAGCTGATTTACAGCAGCTCCGACCAGGACTGTGACTCTGGGGATGAAGACACGGCAGCACAGGCAGGGACAAGAGAGGCATGAAACGGAAGAAGAGAAGCGAGTTTGTAATCAGAATCAGAATCAGACATACTTAAATAATCCCAGTTACATACTCCATATGAAATAGACATACATATATTAAGAATATATCTATACACATAGTATAATTTAAAGTCACACTTTCAAATATGCAAAAATGGCAAGTGTAAAGTGGTCGCAGGCTTCCTCTTCACCAGAAGCACATAGCAGGATGTTGGGTTTGCAGAGGGAGGGATGTACGACGACGATGATGATGTGCGGGATCTCTCTCGGTAGATGATATGGACGGAGTCCAACAGCCAGCAGTTCAGCATCCGGGCCACAGAGCTGTTCGCTCTCAGTACAATCCCGGTCTGCCCGTACGGTGTGGAAGCCATCGACAGACACGTTCTGCTCCATAATGTCCCTGTGCAGCCATGTCTCAGTGAAACACATCAGACTCCTGGTACTCTGCGTGGCTCCGCTTTAATGCCGTTAGCTCGTATATTTTGTTGTATGAACTAAATGTTCAGTCTCCTTGCTGGTTGTTCTGACACATTCAGAATCATTACCACATTTTCTTTTAGCATTTAACAGGCCGCTGTTCAAATATATATAATTAAATAATCAAATGTTTGATGATCAGTCGAGCATTGTCAAATGGCAATTAGTCAGCTAGGAAAATCTTTAGTCGAGGGCAGCCCTAAATCAGTTCTATGCTGATTGTTTAAAGCCCTAGTAGTGTATGCTGCTGAATCATTACTACTACAGTGCCACAGTCATAGCAAGTCACTAAAATACCAAAGAAGCTTCAGTAAAATAAAAAGCTGTTTGCACCAGACAGGACTACTACTCATTGGAACAAAGCCCGACTATGGGTTATCAAAAGCCTCTGTCGGTCATCTGGCTAACAATTTGCAGAGACCGCGGCTGTGGCTGAGAGGCAGAACTAGTCATCCACTAATTGGAAGGTTGTTGGTTCGATTCCCGGCTCCTCCCGCCACAAGTGTCCTTGAGCAAGATACTGAACCCCAAATTGCTCCCGATATCGGTGTGTGAATGTGTGTGAAAGGGTGAATGTGGCATGTAGTGTAAAAGCGCTTTGAGTGGTTAGAAGACTAGAAAGGCGCTATAGTACAGGTCCATTTAGCATGTACCATTTACCATCAAAAAGAAAAAAAAAAGGCCCGAGAGCAGATCTTGTGTTTGTACGGACGAGTGTCACGTGAATCTTTCTGTCCTTGAATGCTTCAGTGTTTCCTCTAGGATTTTTTTACATTGTGCGTCTGCCCCATTTCTGATGCCGTGGCGGCAGAAATTTAACAGCAGCGGGCCGCCGCTCCAGAATCAACATAGAGGAAACACTGTGCTTGATACACACATCAGATACAGCACAAAAACAAGTTGAACGTCATATATGGTAAATGTTTACTTATCAATGTGGCAAGAACCGTCAGGGTCCAGATTCCAAACGTCACTCAGTGTCTGTGTGCTGGAGGCAGTAGCTGTCTCAGCTGCTGCCACAGTGCTGTGACATATTGTGGTTTTGGCCTGGCAGGGTGGCAGAGCTGCTACGCTGTGGTTTGGCACGAGTATGCCTCCTGTAATCCCACAGCGTTAAGAAATACAGCCTCGTCCTAAAACAACACCCAGCCCTTAAGAGAGACACTACATTACAGATTATTAATTATCATTCAATAATAGTTGACTTTGAAATAGTGCGGTTCCAGTCTACACAGGCATGCTCATATGACCACAATGAAGTTTCTTGCTCTTCACTCAGTACCAAAAAGTTGGAGAGCTTTGAAAGTCTTTCTGGTCTCTATCTGTAAATTCTCATGTTTTATAGTTAGTTTTTATAATATTTTGTTGGTTAGATAATAAGACCTAATAGATCAGACTGAACACACTGAGTCTTGATTTCATGCAGAGTTTCTGTAAATTTCAACAGATTCAATTTAAGACTTTTTAAGACCCTTTTAAAGCCATTTTAACGTCCATACTGGCAAAAAAAGGTATGAAGGATAATGAAGGAAAATCTGTATTGGTTCCATGTCGGTTTTGTTTTGTAGTTGTTAGAGCATAATCAACAGAATGTTTTTATTACTAATGGGTCGACTGGTTAATCAGGCCGATGTCTGTGCTCACAAGGCCAATAAAAACTGAATGTCTTCTGCAGGTAGCGTTGTCAGTGTGGCTGCTGTGGAACCATGTTTTTGGTAAGGTGGTGAAAGAGTTGTTTTCGAGCCCTGTACTATAACTCTCTCGATATCAAAATATGATGTTTTTCTTGGTCTTAAATTGAATATCTTTAGATGTTGGTCAGAAAAAAAAATAAATCTGATGACGTCCCATTCTGCTCAAGGATATTGTGATATGGATTTTTCACACTATTCTGATGTTTCATGGACCAATTACTCCAGTAAATAATAGGTAGAATAATCAGTCTAAAATGTTCCCATACAACAGGAAGTATAAATATCTTACTACACAGGAACAACAGAGGTAAGCTTCCATCTACTGAGCTCAACACAGCAGTAGCAATACAACTGCACAAGCCTTAAAAACCTCTGATCAATCGGCTCATCTATCAACACAGCGACAGTCCACAGGAACTGACACAGCTCAAAATAAATGACAAAAAATCACCACAGAGGAGCTCAGACCACACACTGAGGGCCTCTGAAGGTCCCCTCTGGCCTAACAGAGATGCTCCAGTGAGGATCTCCTCAGGCCGGATGAGGCTTCCTGGTGACTGAAGACAAGCCCAGACTGCTGCATCCAGACAGTACACTCACATATGGAAAATGAAAATAAAATAGAGAACACAAAAACAAAAACCTTGGCCAAAAACACTAGACACTAGAACAAGCCACACCGACTACAGCAAGCAGCCGTACATTCTAGTATAGCTCTCCATACTAGCAGGTGGC